GGAATGACTCCATGCTGTCCCTGCCCCCCCAGGTGTGGATCCTGGGACCGACCTGCGTGGGACGGGAATGCTGGGGCTGATGCAGATCCTGTTCTTCGTCCTGGACTCCCGGACGCTGCCGCTGGCCAGGGAGATCTTCCAGCTCTCCCAGCATGAAACCCAGGCACGGCCTTCCCCCTCCTCCCTGGGAGGAGACTCCCTTGGAATTCCCTGTGCTCTGGCAAAGGGAAGAACAAGGAGCTCTTCGGGGATTTTTTGGGATGCTGAACCCCCTCGGGCTGGTGAGGGGAGGAAGGTGGTGCCCAAGGAGCCCTGATCCAGGCTGGAGCTGAGCTCCAGGTACTGGATTTGTGCTGGGAATGGGATTTTAAAAATTTGATCCTGGCTTAGAGTGGGATGAAAGGGCTGGGGAGTTGGGCAACAGGAAAATGGGAGTGGAGCCTGTCTCCTTAAATTCCACATTTTAGTCCATGTTTAAGCCTGGGATACAAGCTCAGCTCAACCATCCACATCCATCCAAGCCTGGATCCATAGAGCTGTTATCCCAGTACATGGACCTGCCACCCATCCCGTGGGTTTGGGGCCACACAGATGTGGTGTCAGAGGGTTGGAGGTGCCAGAGGAGAGGAGGGTTTTCCATCTGAGCTGCAATAACACCGGAATTCTGATTCTCTTCCAGAATTTTCCCTTCTGCATCATGTCCGTGAACATCACCCGGATCGTCGTCCAGGCGCTGCGGGAGGAGCGGCTCTCCCGGTGAGGGAGGGCTGTCTTTGGGCTCTCAGACCGCATCCAGGGCCCTTCCTGGGACGTTGCCAAGCCCCTCTCCCCATTTTCCAGGGAATGCAACCGCCGGCAGCAGGTCATTGGGGTGCTGAATGACCTGTACGCCGCTGCCTTCCTGCGGCTCTTCCGCCTCTGGAAGCGGCAGTGCGGGACTGTCGCCGACGCCGGGTCCTTCCTCAAGGGTTTGTCTGCCCGGCTTTTCCTTCTCCTTATTTTCCCTGGGAAAACAAACCCAGGACAACCTGAGTACCCCCCAGCACATCTGAGCCCAGTTCCAAGGGCTGTAACGCCCAAGAAGCCCAAACATTCCCCATTTAATCCTCACACTGAGGTTTTCCACAGTCTTTTCCTATGCCAGTGCTCCAAGGGGTTTCCCCCCCATCCCCATTTTCCATTCCAGAGGGATGCTGTGCCAGGGTGGCTTGAGGTGGGTGACATGTGGGGACATTCCCTGCTCCCCAGGCTCACACAGGGCCATGGCTTAACCCCAGTCCATGAGTTTATTCCAGAGGGGATTGGTGTCAACTGAGCTAATGGATCTCCCAGAAATGGGGATCCAGCTGGCACTGCTGAGATCCGGCTTGTCCCATCTTCCCTGGATTCCAGTCCAGGGGGGGTCAGGCTAGTGCTGAGCTGGGAGTGGAGAGGAGCTTCCCATGTTCCCTCATCCCAAGGAAAACACAATTACACCCTTTCCCAAGGGAAAACATTGGGATGCTGGGTTTGTTGGGCCTCTGACACCATCCAGGCTTTGCTCCCCTCAACCTTTTCCCCCTCTGACCCTTCCAGAGCTGGAATTATCCACCAAAAAGAAGCCAAGGCAGCTGCTGAGATCCCTGGAAGCCTATGTGAGCCACGGTCTTCGGCCTTCCTCCCCTCCTTCCCCCTCCTCCTCCTCCCAGATCCACTTCACCAGCATCTGTGACCCTGTGGTCGAGCTGGAGGGAGATTCCCGGCTGATCTGACACAGAGCAGGATGCTGCACAGGGAATTCTGCTGGTGGATCAGCCCTTGGAGGGGGACATGCTGGTGTCTCCCCTGGTTTGGGGGCTCGGGAAGGGCCAGGAGAGGTCACAGAGCCGGGATTCACCTGCTCCAGGTGGAAATCCCTGGAAGTGAAAGAGGAAAGGCAGCCTGGCACTGGGATAGTCCCTCTGTCCATCCCAAATGCAGGGTCCCACCTGTCCTTACCCTCCCCCGGGGGAGCTGGGTGGAGGTGCCGGGCTCCTGGATCCCATCCCAGCTCCAGCAGCACCTAGGGGGAGGGAAACCCCCCACTTCGGGCTGTGGAGGCTTCACTGGGGCTGGGGGGGAGCAGGACCAGGGGGACAGTGTGGCCCTCCCAGCTGGGGACCCCGGGGTCACCATGGGGTGTCAGCACCCAGAGAAGTTTAACGAAAGGGGGTGGAAATGTGGTGGAAAAGAGTTTTGGATTTGGATTTGTCACTGGATTCTGTGGGATCCAGAGGGTGGTGGTGAAGCAGCAGTGTCAGGAGCCTGATTTGGGGTGAAACAGGGGTGAAAAAGGTGCTGTGAAGGAGAGAAATGAGGGTTGAGAGCTGCAGGGAGGAGTGTTACTCCCTCTGGAAGCAGCTCTGTGCCAGTCTTTGGGAATGTCCCCAAACCCCTCAAAATGGGGAGAATTCCCCAAAGCCCAAGTCTGGAGAGAACTGAGGGGTTTGGGGGAGAGAAGGCTGGTGGGAGAATGGAACATCATGGCCCCCAGCCCCCCCAAATGATTCCTGGGGGCTGGGAATGCTGCTGGATGGAAGAACATCCAATAAATGGGCAAAGCGGAGCCCAGAATTATGGATTTGCTTTCCTGATTCTGAATTACTGTGGGAATCAGGGCACGGGGGGAGCCCTTTTGGGGTGTTTTGGGGCAAGGGTGAGCTGAGGGTGGGGGGGAACACAGGGAGAGGGA